GGTAATCATGATGTATCTGTATTAATTGCATGGAAAACCGTGCTTTTAAGTTCTTACTGATTGCAATTAATCACGGCAATTTATTTACAGGAAAGTTTGTAGGACACAGGCGAGTACAATGTAGATTCGAGAAATAGTTATTACATTACACGCAAGTGGAATTCTATCTTCGAATACAATTATTTCAATATTATTTTTTATTCCCGCCTTTTTATTATTTTAACGTATAGTCTGCCAGAAAACGTTATAATCGAATTTTTAATGTTTATGTCGCACTCACCTTTTTATATAATTTAAAATAGTAAAGAAACAGAAAGAGCTTATTAAAATGGCTCTTGTTTAAAAAGTTAAAATAAAAAGTTGCTTAAAGTTTACTAAATAAAAATGTACACAAAAATTGAATGATTAACGGGCTATTTTTATTTTATTATTAAAATGTCATCTTCAGGACTCTACACCTACTTGAATTTTTCTATTTTCCCGAATAATCTAATAAAGCGGAAAAATATATGAAATAGTATCACTTTTGCAAATATTTTAATAAAAATTAAAATAAACAATATAAACGAAAGCGAGTACAACTTAACAATATAACATAGACGAGTAACCAAAAAATAGGTATATGATATACATGCATTGTATTCCGCCTTAGTGTTAAACCGAGTTAGTATGGTTCTAGAATAAATCCTTGGCCGACAACAGAATTAGAAGCTTCTGTTACAAGCTTCACGCACCTCTCTATTGCCTGTGTATGGCAGGTAAAGGATAAATCTACAGGACAAGTTCCCGTATCTCCATCACTTGCAGTACTTAAAAAAGGAGGTGCTGTAACTGAGCAATTTCGCCAATCAATAAGCTAATAATATTCACTGGCATCGAAATCTAATTCAGGAATAACAAATTCCCTTACGTCTGTAGATATTTTTGTGTGCGCCTTCAATATTCTTCGTAAGCAGGACGATCATCAGAAAGCAATGCTAGAAGAAGGTTCTCCGGATGACAAAAATACGCATTTCGTTTGATAACTGTATCATTCTGAAGACGTGTCTTCCTCCATCACTACACGATGGTTTTCTTTTAATGTCACAATGGCGCATAAACTTTTACCACAAATTCAGCGATTGTTCTTAAATTTGTAGACGGACATTTACTTCCGATGTAAAGACGCAGTATACGGTTTGCCTTTGTAAGTCATCGTGCGTGTGATCATTAACCTGGATTACGAGCTGCTAGTTCTAATGAACAGTTTCCTCTAGAAATTGAGTGACATTTCATATAAGTACTTTTGATCAGTGCTGATTCCTAAAGGTCAGATCAGTTCTACGTTCAGTCTCAGTTTTATTCGAACTGTCAGTTATCTGTATGTATAAACACAAAAAACTGTAAGAAAAACTGAAACTGATACGGAGCTGTGGCTCGAAGGGTATTCGCGATTCAAGCTAAGTGATACGCCCTCTGGAGGAAATTTGTAGAAGGTCCGTATAAGTAGGATATCGATCAGTGTTGCCAGAAGTAGCAAAATTTCGCTATGTCGTCGGATTTTAGCTCTTGAAGAAGTGGACCATACCTTCATAATTTCTATGACAGCATTTTCATTTGCACGTTCTTTTGGTCGAACACTATTACCACGCACTTGTTTTTGTAAAGTGCCAGCTGCTCTTAGTTGCCAGGAAAATGCACCTATTCAGTACATTTATATTAGGGTACCTCTCTGCACCATTCACATAATTACAAAATGAAAAATAATTTATTACAAACAATCGTTATCTTTTTGGGACAATCTTTATAACTACTATTATATTTTTTAAAATAGAAAAATTTATTTAAATTCGATTATACTTAGAGAGTGGTTTGTTTTTCTTCGTCAAATTGTCATTTGCAAAAATCCTTTTTAAAACAAGTTTTATCATGTAATCGTGCAATTATTGACCTGCTTTTTGCCCCTGTGTTTATTGTTGTTTGTGAAAGCACTGTATGACAAAACGTGGGTTATATTCAATAACATGTTCATAATTCATATTCATTACAAAATAAATATTACCTATAGACTTATTAGTAATAATTACTCTTACAAAAAAATACTTTGTTTTTCAAACATAATGTGTTACCTAGAAAAGATAAATAATGTTTACAAGGTTCGTCATCTAATGGTAAATCATTCATTTTCTCAAATGTACTGTTTTTTTATTACAATTTTTATTGTCTTTTTTATTCAAATCTACAAGTATTTGTTTTCATCTTTGGGGCCCTGGAATGGGGATGGTCTTAATAATTAGTAGGGGGCTTGTAGAGATTTTTTTCCGAATATTCAAATTTTTTCAGTTATACTGATTTTTTGGATATCGATTTGCGATTTCTTGATAATAAATTCACAATTTTTTGTCTTTGTAAGAGGGAGTCCTGTTTGCTCTTAAGGATTTACAAAACTGGGCGAGTAAGATGTACTATTTTATCTTTAAGCATCAAAATTTAAAATATTAAACCAAAATATTGTTAGACCATATTATGAACAAAATGGCGATTTCAACTTTGAAAAATTACATCTGGTTTTGTCCAATCAAAGCAAAAAAATAAAACAATAATATTTACCATACATATTATACATATTTGAATTAACATTACAAATAAAAAGCAAATAAAAATCGAATAAAGAGCGAATAAAGAGCGAATAAAGAGCAAATAAAGAGCGAATAAAGAACAAATAAAGAGCGAATAAAGAGCAAATAAAGAACAAATAAAGAGCGAATAAAGAGCAAATAAAGAACAAATAAAAAGCAAATAAAGAACAAATAAAGAGCAAATAAAGAACAAATAAAATGCAAAAAGAGTAAATAAAGAGTAAATAAAAAGCAAAAAGCAAATAAAGAGCAAATAACAAACAGATAAAAGGCAAATAAAAAGCAAATAAAAAGCAAAGAAAGAGCAAATAAAGTGCAAATAAAAAGCAAAAAGAGCAAATGAAAAGTAAATAAAAGCAAGTAAAGAGCAAATAAAGAGCAAATAAAGAGCAAATAAAAAGCTAATAAAAAGCAAATGGAGAGAAGATAAAGAGCAAATGAAAAATAAATAAAAAGCAAATGAGCGAATAAAAAGCTAAGAGCAAATAAAAAGCAAATGAAGAGCAAACAAAGAGCATATAAAGATCAAATAAAGAGCATATAAAGATCAAATAAAGAGCAAATAAAAATCAAGTAAAAAGCAAAGAAAAATCAAATAAAAAGCAAATAAAGAGCAAATAAAGATCAAATAAAGAGCAAATAAAGAGCAAATAAAAAGAAAATAAAGAGCAAATAAAGAACAAATAAAAAGTAAGTAAATAAAACCAAATGAAAAGCAACTGAAAAGCAAATGGAAATCAAGTAAAAAGCAAAAAAGTATTATAAGCAAATATAAAGTAATAAAAAATGAATCAATAAAATTAATAAAAGTTAATAAAAATTAATAAAAATAAATAATTCAAAATAAAAAATGAATGAATAAAATGAATAAAAGTTAATAAAAATTAATAAAAATTAAATTAATTAAAATTAATAAAATTTAAATTATATAAAATTAAATTAATATAAAGAAATCAAAAGAAATCGAAATCAAAAGAAATCAAAAGAAATCAATCAAAAGAAATCAATCAAAAGAAATCAATCAAAAGAAATCAATCAAAAGAAATCAAAAGAAATCAATCAAAAGAAATCAATCAAAAGAAATCAATCAAAAGAAATCTAATCAAAAGTAATCTAATCAAAAGTAATCTAATCAAAAGTAATCTAATCAAAAGTAATGTAATCAAAAGTAATGTAATCAAAAGTAATCTAATCAAAAGTAATCTAATCAAAAGTAATCTAATCAAAAGTAATCTAATGAAAAGTAATCTAATGAAAAGTAATCTAATCAAAAGTAATCTAATCAAAAGTAATCTAATCAAAAGTAATCTAATCAAAAGTAATCTAATCAAAAGTAATCTAATCAAAAGTAATCTAATCAAAAGTATTCTAATCAAAAGTAATCTAATCAAAAGTAATCTAATCAAAAGTAATCTAATCAAAAGTAATCTAATCAAAAGTAATCTAATCAAAAGTAATCTAATCAAAAGTAATCTAATCAAAAGTAATCTAATCAAAAGTAATCTAATCAAAAGTAATCTAATCAAAAGTAATCAAAAGTAATTAATAACGAGTAACAACCAGTGTAATGAGTAATAGCGAGTAATAACGAGTAACAACGAGTAATAACGAGAAATAACGATTAATAAATTGTTGTAGTAGTAAAGAGCAATTAATAAGAAGTAATTAGTAAGATTTGGGAAGCTAAAGAAAAAGGTATTTTGGTAGCTTTTACATGTGTTACCTCTTTGGGTTGAGGAGCAAAAAAAGATGTCGTCGCTGTTTGTAGCAAAAAAATTTCATGTCCAAAACAAATATGCTAACCTACTTAAAAAAAAATTCATTACCATAGCCCCCTCGAAAATTCAGTCTAGAGCCGCCCTTGCTTCCTAATGAAATATACATTTTTACCTTTACAAGTTTCATACTTTCTTTTTTAATTTAAAAAATAATAATTAAATAACATTAAATACCATTAAAATCCGGTAAAAACAATTTTTTCATAAACATTTATCTACTTCATTTAGATGCTATAACAATTTAATTAGAAACTTTTGGAATATATTCATCCCCAAAAGTCTTAAAATTACTATATCAAAATAAATTCAGGGGCGGCTTGTGACCAAAATTTTGGGGGTTCACGGTGACAGAATATAGATATCAGTACAGATGTAGAAAGTTTATAATATACCTTTCTAAAACACTGACAGTTTTTTACCTACATCTGTACGGAGATCTATATTCTGCTACTGTAAACCCCCAAAATTTTGGTCACAAGCCACCTCAATTAATATTATGAAATTTATATTTTGAAAATTTTATGTGGGTCCTAGACTTTTCGGGATATGTATATTTATCTTTAGGAATGATGCCACAGACAATCATATGAATCGTTTTTTTCAGATTCAAGACTTAAATTCAGTAAAAGAAAAATCTCAGTCTCCATGGATTCTCTCTTCATATAGTACCAATCAGGATTTGGCCTACCCGGATTCGTTAGATAAAAACAATTTCGTGCAACAGTCGACCACCGACAGTTCGACGAGCTTCCGTTTCCAGACGGCCAACACGTTTCTGTGGCACACCGGCCTACCGCGGGAAAGAAACGAATATTACGACAGCATCGACACCAACATGGCTTCCAGCATGTTCCACAACGGCGAGGAAATGGCGGAATGCGATTCGCTCGAAGGGCAGCTGTCGGATTTTTTAGGAAAAAAATAATTTTCGTATGGATTTTATTTTACTTTATATTGTACGATGCCGAGTTGATATTTGGAAGGTAGGAATACTCTCATTTGATTTGTATGAATTTCAATTGGGTTCTTCTTCTTTTGTGTAATTATGGGCTTAATCCGAAAACTATCCACCCAGTTTCAATTGGGTTAGGTATTTTTAATCAGTATTCAACACTTAAAAATGTCTTCTTAAAGAAATTTATATTATTTTAACAATGATTAAATTTATAATTTTTATGTAAATTTATCTTTTTGTTTTAATTATTTTATATCATTTTTAACTGCAAATTTTATTACTTTTGATTGACGAGCTAAGTAAATTTATCACTTGTCTCACTCATATTCTTCATATTCTTCTCTTAAGCTTAAGTAATCAATTGTGTCCAGATATGTTGTCGTTTTTTTATTTTTTCAATATTGCATTAGGTATTTTTATGCTCGTTATACAAGCATTTTTCTTGTTGTGACAAACTTTTTCATTTACACTTTCTGAGTCATATTAAGATTTTAAAATCAAATTTATTTTGCAAGAGCAATAATCATTGTTATTCGTGAACAGCGTTGCCGCTTGGTTACAAATGTATCCACTTGAGTACATTTTCTCGCTCATAGTACTCAAGTATATTTTAGGACCGATAATCTTAAATTGGTTACATTTTGGAATAATGAATTATCTATGAGTTTTTATCAAACGAGACCCTTATTTCAAATTTATATTTAAATTAATTCAAATTAAAGGTATAGATGATGTTATTGCTTTACAGGAATGAAAAAAAAAAACAACATAGAATATCGGCAAACTTACGTAGGCAGTTGGTGGCATATGAGAAACTTTTTTATTATTAATATTAGAAAAAAAAGTTATTCTTCATAAAAAGTCGAGCATGGTTTAAAACCTCAAATACAACCATAAGATATTAAATTTTATTAGTCGTATACGAGGTTTGTCAAAAATAAAGGTACTTTACTCTTCATATTCATATTTTTTAACAAACGGCTAAAAAAAGATATCTGATGGTTGCATCCCATACAGAACAAACACATTTCAGAAATATTTCAAAAATATTACATTGAAACATTTGTAATGTTCTATAAATATTACGAAACATCCCAGAAACATTTCTGAAATGTACCAGAAACGTAAAAATGTCTTGTAAATATAATATTTCACAGTAATATTTCTGAAATAAAAATTTGAAATCTTTCAGAAATATTAAATGTATTCTAGCTTTTTTTCTAGAATATTATTAGACTAAAAAAAGACATTTATAAATTTACATGTTTATTTAAAATACACAAAACTCAAACAAACAAATAAATATTTTTAAACATTATTTCATAAAATATAAAGGTGAATCGCTTCCACAAATTTCTTTAAAAGCACTAATCTCAAACAAATAGTTTTTTTTTTAATAAATGCCCCAAGTAAAGAAACATTTACGTTTATTACAATTAGCAATTTTATTCTAAAGTCTATTCAAATTTAATTTACGCCTGAGGTAAACAGAAGCAGGTGGACGCTAAAATTGAGCAGGGCCGTATTATACTTTTCCGTCTTGCAAAAATGTAAAATAAAAGAGTGTAATTGTGAAATTATTTTTTTATTACGATAAAAACATATTTTGTAAACTAAAACTATAAAATAAATGCCATACACGGTCTCCCAGACTTTAGTGACATTTCTGGACGAAGATAGGTGAGCGACATAAACTGCGTTAACCTGCAATACAAATTAATAAATGTATTTGACTTTAAAAGAGATGTTTGCATTATATTTAGTTCATTACATATGTCTACTGTGATACAGAGCATTAAAACAATCATATTATAAAATTATATTATATAGGGTGTCCAAATAATTGCACATTCTTTAATAGCTAATATATATATATCTACTAAAAGTATTAAAAAAACTTTAAATATAAGAGGTATTTGGTATTTGAATTTGGTATTTAATTTAAAATTGTGCATCTTAAAAAGAAATCTTTTGTATTTTTGACAACTTTTGTTCTTTATTCTTGTTCTACTAGTATTTAGATTAGACACCTTGTACCCAGCAATCTTCCTTACTTGACTTAGTACTATTCTGAATCGGATAAATTAGTTAGACTTGAAGTGCTATCTTCATTAATCAAAATTACAAGTGGTTCTACCTGAACCTCTATAATATTTTCCAACTTCCACATTTTTACTTCATTTTTTTGGCGAACATGGTCGATACACTTTTTCCATTTTTCTGGAGAAATTAATAATATTACTTCTTCAAAAAGAATTTTAATGATTGTTTTGACGCGGCGTAAATGAAATCTGAATAGACTTTAATCTAACTTATCAAGGGATGAAAAACTTCATGAACTATTCTACTTACTAGTATTATTAGTGTATACTATTTTATGAGAAGGAAAATAAAAGGGACAGCTTTCTGTTAAATATTATATTTCATAACTTGACAACTTATTAATAATTAAAATGGGCGCGTTTAGCCGACGCAACTGTTGATTAAAACCGAAAACATGTTTCTGATATGGTGGAAGTCAACAATTAAAAGTTTAAAGGTTTAAGTTGGTTCAGCCCCAGTAAATTAATAATATAGTAGTGACAGCTTGAGTCGGCTCCTTTGATGTTGGGGTGGTCAGATTTTTATTGACAGTTGACGTTTTTGCCGCTTATTTCTACACTGAAAAAAGTAACTTTAAAATATCTTGTCCCTTTGTCTGTGTGAATAAAATATCACACAATGAATGAAAGATGAAAACTAAGTCTAAATATAATAAAAATGTATTAAAATGTGCATTACAACCAATCAGATAATCAAAACAATTAACTACCATTAATCCATTGACAATTCACATATGCCAGTTTGACGTATTTGTCGCTTATTTACGAACATGCGCAGAAAAATATGGAACCTTCATAAACAATGAACTGTCGCTATTGTATTATTACTTATACTGGGGTTCAGCGGTTAGACAATACACATACACGTGGTGATCATGTAAAAATATACTAATAAGTCATAATCAGTCATAACGGACATTTTTCATCATGGTTTAACTTTAGAATTTGAAAAACAGCAAAATGCATGTTCAAAATTAAGAAATGTGCGGTTATAATCACATATAATCAGCTTTATTCTCCTAGAATGGTTAAAAATCAATAAAAAAACACTAGAAATCTCTAAATTAAAAATTCCAAATTTTGATAGTGTAGATAGCAAATTGGTGGTTCGAGCCCCGAAACTTTTAGTATTTTTTTTCCTAAAAAAAAAAGGAAAAATATTGTTTTATTATTTCACAGTCTTGGTAATTTAAAATGTTTAGTTTCTAAAAAGTATATACTTATTCAATGCATAGTGGCGCATAACGAGGTTCATTCATTTTTATGTTGGCCGGCAATTAAACCCCGGAAAAATTATCTGCCTTTTTGGAATTAATTTTTTTTATATTTAATTAAGACGCTATTAAAATTTCAGCGTGATTCAAACACTTCAAATCATATTTTAAAAAAATCAACTTTGGGGTTGATTTATCAATTATAAACCCTCTCAAAAGTATCTGCCTAAATTACTAGTATTTTTAGAATTACCTAAACTTTCAATTGTTGTTTGTTGGCCTCTGAGTCAAACACTTTTTTTGGGTCATATTTTACGACCCCTTTCTATTATGCGCACTACCTGGTGTCCCGTAGTCAACAGGCATATCTGCTTTTCCATCCAAATGATTTCAAATTACAAAATTTCAAAGTGCATCAAACAATGAAATGTGTGTTACTAGCTCTCCGGCTATTAGTTTCTGTACAGTAGCCAACAAAAAGGTAGCTTTTACTTTTGAAGTCCCATTTATGTCTCAATTGTTTGGGAACATGAACTTGGGCAACGCAGCCAAAAACTTTCAGGTGCTGTAGATTAACTTTTGTACCAGTCCAAATTTCTTCTGGAGTCTTGTCTTTCACAGCTTTATGCGGGGATCTATTTTTGAAATACACAGCAGTAACATTTTGTGTAACATGTATACCATATTTCAAAAACATTTTCAGTAAAATATTTAAGTAAAATATTTCAGAAACTTGTGCTTGAAATGTTATATGTTTGAAACGTTTGTAATCTTTCTAAAACACTTCTGAAATATAGTATGCTGTATGGGATTTTAAGTTTTAGACCATGCAGAACTTTTTATAAAGACATTTTTCATAAAACTAAGAAAAAAAAGTTTCCCATATAGTTCCGACTTAATTGGACACACTGTATAAATTATTCTTATTAAAAGCAATTTTTTTACATTATAATAAAAATGTAATATTTTATTGTATTTAGATTTTGAAAGCAAAAAGGCATTTATATATGAATTTTGTACATATTCAGAATTGGGTACATTTGGGTACATTTTATCAAATTTGTTTGGTACATCAACATATTTGGTTGCGGCAACACTGTTTGTGATATTTCATCAGAATTTTCAATATATCTAAAGCAGACTGGAAATATTTAAGCATCATTAGAATCCCTTATCTAATTATTTTTTCTGGCCTTTACCTTCTACAAATTTACATTTCTTCATCTTTATTGAAGATACGGGGCTGATGAAAGGTTTCCATTTGCTCCAAAATAATTGATAGTTTAGCAGAAGCAGCTGCACTGTTCATTACAGGATTTTGCTAAATGTATCAAGTTGTACCAATTTTCAAGAGTATCACAACCATCTTTGTAATTTTTGTTGATTGTTGTCCTTGTTTCGGTTCTATTGTGTTGTTATGCGTGTCATTTCTTTATATCAATTATTATAATCTTTAGCCAAGGCTGTATACAAACATCACCAGCTCAAATAATAAATTTTGAAATTGAAACTTTATTTTATTCTAGTCTGGATTTAGTTTATTAGAGATAATTCATTCTTATGCTCTTATTTTCTACACCCAATATTATTTTTTATGCTCTTGACATTTTTTATTTAAGAGAAAACCTAATTGTAATTACTACAACAAATTAAAAATTTTGAATGCGAAAAAAGTTAGGTAATAATAAATGGTTTTCGGCAATTTACACATAGAGTTTACATAAATTGATATTCCTATTAAACAATTTCCTGAGATAATTGATTTAGCATTTAACGAGTAAAATAGAAATGGTAGTTAATTGCATTTTTTTTATATAAAAAAAATTATTTTCAGTAAAAAAAATACTTTTCAACTGTACTATACAAATTAAGAACATTTTTTTTATATTCTATATTTTAACTTATATGAACTATTATATTAGCACACATTCCATTTTAAATATTCGTTGTATTTTTATGGATTGCTTTTTAAACAATTAAAAATGATGCATAATTATATGTGAAGAATTTGGTGCTTGTATATATTTGTGTATATAAACGGAACTGATATTTTGGTATGTATATAAAAGTGTTAAGCGATAAATGGGCTCGTATGAAAACAACAAAATTGATCTATTGTTTTGTTTTTAAATTTTTATAACTATAATTGAAAATACAATAATTTTGCAACATATATTTTTAAAGGGAAGTAAAAGGCTCAAAGTCTGTCGACCACATAAATTTATTAGGTTGGGTTGCAAGCGCTTTCGACCTAAAAGGTCATCATCAGGCAAAAAATTTTTTGTAAGTGAGTAGGTAGGTAGGTACAATCACTATGTGTCCACAGAAAAAATTCAACATATTTAATTTTTTCTGTGGACACATAGTGATTGTACCTACCTACCTACCTACCTACTCACTTACAAAAAATGTTTTGCCTGATGATGACCTTTTAGGTCGAAAGCGCTTGCAACCCAACCTAATAAATTTATGTGGTCGACAGACTTTGAGCCTTTTACTTCCCTTTAATCTACTTCGGACCACTTTGAGATATGGATAATATTTGGAATATATTTTTAAATCCCAAAATAAAAACGATAATATTACTTGAAATTGCCCTCGAATTCGTAATCATATTCACACAAAAAGCTTGTAAGCAATTTATAAAGAATTATTATTCACACGAATTATATTGTACTTAAAAATGGCATGACATGTAAGCACATAGCAAATAGACAATTAAAATTTTTTAAAAATACATTATCATATTTCTTAATTGCTTGTTTCATAAAATTTAATATTTTACACGTTTTTGTAGAAAAAATAATTATAACGTTACATCTATTAATTGGTGGGAACCTAGAGATATGGATGGCAATTAGGACGATTATCAAAATAAATATTCGATTAATTATTTTTATTAATCAATTACTTTTCATTAATCGATTATTTTCGAAGAATCGATTATTTTCTATTAATCTTCTTATTGAGTGATCGACTATTTTCCATTAATCAATTAATTTCAAGTAGAAAATCGATCATTTTCGATTTATCGATAAATTGATTATTTCGGACTAATCGGATTATCGATTATTAGAGTAATTAATCGTTATATCGATATTATTTAATTGATTTTTCAACTTATTTTCAATTGTTAAATTAAACAATTATTCTTAATCTAATATTTTCGGTTAATCGATTTATCGAGACATCGATCATTTTCCATTAATCAATTATTTTCAAATAGAAAATCAATTTTTTTAATTTGTCGTTAATTTGATTATTTCAGAGTAATTAATCGTTCTAATCGATATTATTTAATCAATTTTTCAACTTATTTTCAATTGTTATTAAATTTTCGATTATTAGTACATATCTAATTCTATTTAAATATAAGGTTATAAAAAACTTTTTATCTAATTCTCGATAGGATAAGGCGATTATCAAAATAAATAATCGATTAATTATCGATTATATCCGATCAATCTATTATTTTCAATTAGTCATTTAATTATTTTCAATTAATTTCGATTAATTTCTATTATTTTTGATTAGATTATTTTTGATTATTTTTGATTATTTTTGATTATTTTTGATTAATCGATTGTCAATTATCGATTATTCTAAAAAAAATCGATTAGTGAATTATTTTCCTCACCCATAATGAAAATATTTCGAAACCGCATTTGGAGATAAAATCGAAGTCAAATATTATATTTTTTCAATGTCTTAATTGAAAATTTTTGTAGAAAAATAATTATAACGTTATATTTAATTAACTGGTGGAAACCCAGAGATGGCAATTAGGCGATTATCGAAACAAAGAATCGATTATTTAAAATAATCCATTATTTTTATTCATTGATTACTTTTCATTAATCGATTATTTTTGATTATTCAATTTTTCGATTATTTTTATTGATTTATTATTGCAATTAATCGACATTATCAATTTTTTTCGATGAATTTTTGACGAATCGATTATTTTATCATTATCTTCTTATTGAGAGATCGACTGTTTTGTATTAAACAATTATTTTCAAATGGAAAATCGATATTTTTCGATTATTAAATTAGTCGATATATCGATATTATTTGATTGATTTTAAACTTATTTTCGATTGTAATATCGAATCATTGATAATTATCAAAATAAATAATCAATTATTTGAAAATTATCGATTATTTTCGTTTAATTTCAATTATTTTCGATTATTTTCGTTTATTTGTTATTATTTTCGATTAATCGATTGTCTATTATTCTAAAAAAATCGATTCTTTTGACAATGTTTAGAAACCGCATTTAGAGATAAAATCAATATTTTCTTTTTCAATATCCTTTTTGAAAATTATTATTATAAATAGCATCTTTAGAAACCAATCGTTTTCTAGTAATACCTAGTCGATAAAATAATCGATTAATCGATGTTTCGATTATTTCTTTTTGAACAAACCAATAACGATTAATTTCGATTAATCAATTATTTTTGAAGAATAAATTATTTTCTCTTAATCTTCTTATTGAGTTATCGACTATTTTCCATTAATCGATTATTTTAAAATAGAAAATCGATAATTTTCGATTAATTGTTATGTTGATTATATTAGAATTGTCGGATTATCGTTTATTAGATTAGTCGATATATCGATATTATTTGATTGATTTTAAACTTTATTTTCGATTATTAATTTATATTATTAATAAATCGATTATTTTTAATTAATCGGTTAATCGAAAAGAATCAAGTATTTTCGATTATTCAAGCATTCAATTATTTTTTATTAATCGATTATTCAATTGATAGAATAATCAATTATTTTTGTGGAATTCATTATTTTTGCTTAATCGATTATTTTCAATTAATCTATTTGTAGAGAGATCGATTATTTTTCATTAATCAATTATTTTCAAATTGAAAATCGATTATTTTCGATTTATCGATATTAGAGTAATTAATCGTTATATCGATAATTGATTAACTTTTTTATATCTAATTCTCGATAGGACAAGACGATTATCAAAATAAATAATCAATTTATTGAAAATTATCAATTATTTTCGATTAATTTCGATTTTTGATAATTTTTTTATGACAATGTTTAGAAACCGCATTTAGAGATAAAATAATTTTTAGGGATGAGCTTAAAATGATTAATTGAATATTCGCTTAATCGATTAATAGAAAATAATCGATTATTTCCAATTAATCGAAAATAATCGATTGTTTTAAATAATCGATTATTTTTTTCAATAATCGCTCAGCCCTTGTACTAATGGTTAACATAAATTGTTATTACTAATCTAGTACAATATATTTCAATCATATTGTTAATTCTATAAGATCAATTTTAGTTGTTTGTCAAAAACCCCGCCTAATACTCAAGTATATTAGTATAATAATAAGTATTTCAAAAACACTTATTGTAAGATATATTTTTCAGTTGTCTTAATATATTAAATTTTCTATAAATTTATATTTCTTATTTATTATTTTTGAATTTTTAATTTCCCAACCATACCATTTAATATTTTTTTAAATAAAAGGGTAGTTGATTAAATAATGTGAATTTTAGTGACGTGACCCCATATGAGCATGGGACATTTTTTTAAAGATTATTAATAGTAAACTCCGCCCCTGAATGTCTGAAAGCAAAAAGTAAAATTAAAATAAATGTAATAAAGATAAAATACTTACTATTCTTGTAATGATATTAAAAAAACTACCCTGTGCACTAGGTATGCTTCATGGATTGGGAGTAAATTTAATTTTGCTGTGTAGGACTGTGATAAGGCATATGCAGAAGTAGATATTCGAAGTGGCAATTTTTTAATTTATATTATTACAATTCGAAAAAATACCTATATTGAAATCATCAAATTTTTTATGTTTTTTATTTGTAATTATTAAAAATAAATTCACTAGTTTTCTTAAATGCCGCAGACTTTGTGATATGTATTGAAATGCTCATCACACATCTCGTTTAATTATTTGGTTAGGATTTTCAAAAATATCGATTGTAATAAATTTCATTTGAAAATCTTAACTAGTATATATTATGTATATCCCATATATTTCACTGTAATTGTAGGACACAATATATCATAGTTTACCACAATGTGAACAGATTTATAAAATCTGATTGTATTATTATTTCTTAGGTATTTTTCATGACTGATTTTGATTTTATAAATCTGTTAAATAGAAAAAAATATTTGTACATAATTCCTTTTTTGTGTTTGTATTATAAAAAAACACCTATTATAAATAAATACAATGTTACATTTTAAACGTGTTTTTTCTTTTTGGTCACATTTTCCATCGTTTCCAATTTCATTAGTATTTCCTTTAAATGCCGAACCAATTGTCCTATGGTTTTTTCAATGTCCTTCAACCGTTCTTGTTGACTAAAATATTAAAATAATGCTTAGAGAAAGGAACAGCGGAACAAAAAATTGAAAGCAGAATGGACTCACCTTATAAAGTCTTTCAAGTTGACAAAATTATTATCTTTAGAGGTGTCATGGTCTAAAAGAATTTTATTATTAGGTCATTTCGTAAATGTACAAGTCCAAATATGTAGTTTTCAGAAAAATTGATTTTATTATTTTTATTAGTAGATAGACAATGCCAATATGGCCTCACTAGTAGATGGCGCCACCTGTCAGTGATGCGACTCGGCTAAGTGGTTTGTGACTCAGCTAAGCGATCCAAGATGGCGGCCATCGTTTACGTCATATTCAAGTGCCAAATTCACAACATCACTTTCACAGTCCTTTAACTACAATGTGTCAATTAGTATTCTGTTAATATATTTTTTCTAAAATTTTACCAATTTAGAGAGCAATGTTACAGATTGTTATCAAATTAGGTAATTAGAATGTAATTTAGTTAAGTAAGTATTCTCAAACTTTGTGTTTTTAAATATTATATTATACAGTATGGTGCAAATGAAAGGAATAAATTCATTATAATGGAAGTAGTTGGTTTTTCGAAAAAATGCTCGAACAGGTCAATTTTGTTTACTTAAAGCGCAATTTTTTAAATAAAATTCAATTTTCCCCCACTTCCCATTTTTGGGCAGTGACGTCATTGACAATTTTTTTAAATAGAAACCCCAATTTTTTTTTCTTGATTTTGATAGATCTTGCAATTTCCTACTTGGAAACGTAATATTTGAAATATCTGACATAACAATTTTTTTTGAAAAAAAGTCATTTCAAGATCAGATACATAAATTTTATGTTATTTTGAAACACAATAAATTAATAACAGATAATTATTTGTAATTAAATGCTTAATCTAACAAAATAATAATAAAAAAAATCTGATGTGTCCAACACATGACTTTCCTATCTAGTTAACCTATTGCAGCATCTCTAAAAATGTTTAGAGGATAAACTAAATATATACATTTTCCACATACATCTACCTCGAAACATTTTTCTATAGATATTCATTGAAAATGAAAATATTGAAAAATTTAAATTTAGCACTTTTCCTCCAATTTTTCCATTACGGTCCATTTTAGAAAAGTCATTTAAAAACAAAAATTATAGAGATCGATATCGCAAACAACTTTTAGTTTAACAATTTTCTTAAAAATCAGAATTTTGCACATTTTGTCAAATTTCTCGAATACGGACCATTTCAGGAAAATTTGACATAGAACAAAAATTATAGATAATAATATTGTAAGTAACTTTTATTTGAAGAATTTTCTTCTCCAAACGTAAATAACGAATATATTCCATAAAATATAAAAATGACCACCAATAAAGTACCCCCCAAATGTACCGACTCTGTCCAAAATCTAATCAGTTCACCTCAGGTCGAAATAAAACTTAAGTTTAAAATTTAATGTTTTTTCCTTTATCCGTTTTTGAGTTTTCTTCAAAATTCGAAATTTACACATTTTCTCAAATATCTCGAATACGGTCCATTTTAGAGAAATTATTTATAGGATAAAAATTATAGAGAATTATGTTACAAACAACTTTTATTTGAACAATTTTTATAAAAAGTTATTTTTTTTACATTTTGTCAAATTTCTCGAATACGGACCATTTTAGGAAAATTTTGCATAAAACAAAAATTGTAGATAATTATATTAGAAGTAACTTTTATTTGAAGAATTTTCTTCTCCAAACGTAAATAACACATATATTCCATAAAATATAAAAATGACCACCTATAAAGTACCCCCCCAGATGTTCCGACTCTGCCCAAAATCTAATCAGCTCATTGGACGCTGAAACAAAGCTTAAGTTTAAAATTTGGTGTTTTTCTGTGTATCGGTTCATGAGTTATGCGTTATACAGACACACACACACAGACATCATCGCGAAAATAGTCAAAACGGATTCAGGGGACCTCAAAACGTAAAAATCCGTCGAAAACTCGAGGTCGAAAAAAATCATGATTCCTATACTTTCCTTATATCTGTATACAGATAGGAAAGTAAAAATAATAATAAAAAGAATTTGTGAAATTGTCATTAAATTCGTTTTATTATTATTATTTTTTTTTTAAATTAAGCACTTAATTACAAATAATTATCTTTTATTAATTTATTGTGTTTCAAAATAACATAAAATTTATGTATCTGATCTTGAAATGACTTTTTTTCAAAAAAAAATTGTTATGTCAGATATTTCAAATATTACGTTTCCAAGTAGGAAATTGCAAGATCTATCAAAATCAAGAAAAAAAAATTGGGGTTTCTATTTAAAAAAATTGTCAATGACGTCACTGCCCAAAAATGGGAAGTGGGGGGAAAATTGAATTTTATTTAAAAAATTGCGCTTTAAGTAAACAAAATTGACCTGTTCGAGCATTTTTTCGAAAAACCAACTACTTCCATTATAATGAATTTATTCCTTTCATTTGCACCATACTGTATACTCCTGTAATTGGGCTGATAAAGCCTGTTGGATGTATTAATAAATAAATAAATAAAATAAATAAATAAATAAATATGGATTATCATTGAATAGAAAAATCCTGTGCAATGACACGCCAAAAGGTCCTAAGTGTGTATCTCGACTATTATTAGTCCGATTGGAATGGGGAAAAAGGGAGAGTGCAGGGAATTAAATCTCTATTAACGTCGAACAGAAAAATCATGCGTAGAACGAATCTCCGTTATTACTGGTCCGATTCAAACAGAAAAAACGAGGCAGTGCGGAAATTAAATCTCTATTAACGCTGAAGAGAAAAATCCTACGTAGTAGCAATGTTAAAAGTACCTAAGCGTGTATCTCGGTTAATATTGGTCATATTATAACGATCAGAACGACATTACGTAGAGAACGTGATATAGATTAACTTTGAAGAGAAAATCCTACGCAATAGCAATGCCAAAACGACCTACTGTGGTCTCGACTACTATTGGTCGGATTTAAACGTGAAAAACAGTATTATGTAAAAAACGCGGTATAGATTAATGTTGAAGAGAAAAATCCTGCGCTGTAGCAGTACCAAAAGGATACCTAATCGTGTATCTTGGCTACTATTGGTCATATTCAAACGGAAAAAACTATACATTATGTAGATGGTATAGATTAACGTTGAATAGAAAGATCATGCGGTGTCAAAGGACCTAAGCGTGTATCTCTGTTATTATTACTGATGAAGAGAAAACAATACGCGTAGTGACCTGCGCATATTATTGGTCAGATTTAAACGAGGAATGAGGAGGTAGCTTGCACCAACTATTGAATTTTAATCATTATCGAGATGTCAAGCCAAGAGAATAGACGTAGAATTGAAGAGTTTGATAAAAGAAATAGAGAACTAAGTAAAGACATAAAATTATATGAAGACAAAAGGAAAGTTTTAAGAGACCTAACAAATTTATAAACACTTGACACATACGTTGACAATGTTTTTTTTTGTGTCATTGGCATCAACTGCTATGATTATTAGCCTCGTGTTATGTGTAGCCTTTGTTACTGTTTCCCAGCGCCACTTTAGGAACAGCACTGTTAATTAGTACCCAACAATGAATGGTCATCTATCAAACATCTTATAGTGCGTTCGAAAACGTTGTTTTCGACGTTTTCCTATGTTTTTTCGACGTTTTCGACGTTTTTTCAACGTTTCGTTCGTCCTCGTTAATCATCGTCATACTCTTCGTTTATTGTACGTCCTCGTTAGTCATCGTCATGCTCTTCGTTCATTGTCGTACGTCCTCGTTAGTCATCGTCGTACCCTTCGTTTATTGTCGTACATCATCATTAGCCAACCAGTCGTTAGATATTAATAACAAGATAATAAAATACTCCTCGTTTGTTGTCGTACATCATCGTTAGAGTTGTTGGATATTAATAATAAGATAACAAAATACTCTTCTTACATTGTTGTACGTACTCGTTAGTCATTGTCATACTCTACGTTCATTTTGTCGTACGTCATTGTCGTTGAATATTATTAACAATTATCTTTATTAAAAAATATAAATACAATAGCAATTAACTTAACAATTACAAGCATGTGTACCATATCTGTCATTTAATCCAATAAAAAAAGTATCACATATTTCTTAGAAAGTAATTATCCCTGTTCGCTGTCTATTTAGTATTTCTATACACTTTGCGTCCTTTTGACCTAAAAACTATCTATCACTATATTAACAAAATCTCATCAATATATCGAGGGTATTTCTTCTAAACAATTATCGATAGTCATCTTCGCATGTTATATATTTAGCACTTCTTTACATTTGGGACTTTTTTACCTAACTTTTATATATTTGATTATTACTTTTTTATTTTACTTTTTATTCTTCTTTTTTAATATTTGGGTTCATGCTTTCAACTGTTATTTGTTTTTATTGTTAATTAAGGCTGTCTAAACTCAATATTAAAAGTATCTTTGTAATGTGTAACAAATTTATTTTTCTCAGATTATGTTAATAATAATAATTATCTTTAAGTTTTAAGTGTACTGTATTTGTATTTCTATAATATTTTTTTTATATTAGGTTTATCCTACTTCAATAAATATCTAATAAAAAAAATATGACGTGTCATTAAAATCATTTATTATCGCTCGTTTTACTTACATGTTAAATATCCACTAGAAAAGACAAACCATCAATCGACTTATTTTCTTTATACAAAACAAATTTCAGCATTAGCTATTCCTACTGTGTTTTCAATTCTAAAGGCGGGTACAGATCTGAGCACGTACGCGTATGAGGCACTGATCCAGTAAATTCGCGAGCACGCAACCGTATACCCAGAACATTCGTTAAATTAAAACAAAAATGAAGGATGAGGATGACGTCTCGGAGTTGAGTGCATGTTTTATTATTTTTTCCGACACATTAAAGAAAAAAGGAGAGAAAGGAATCGATGGCCGATTTCCTGCCAATGATATTCTTTTTTTATGATGTAATAGAACTGGCGTTTTGCTCTCTTAAGATATCACGCTAATTATTTAAATCTATAAAAAGCAAAACATTACCCTGGTTCCACTCCATGCAAAACAACTCCCAAAACCTCGCTATAATCTGTACGGTGTTC